GAGTCATACATGTTTCCTCTTAAAAATACTGCCAGTATCGGTGATTCTGGTGGCAGATAGAAGGCTATGACTAAAATGAATATACGGAGACTATGTCCAGGGAATTTACAAAGAAACCACAAAGAGCCCCTATGACAGTGAGGGAAATTTTTCTCAAAGTCACATCTTTGAAAGAATCTGACGCGATTCTATAGAAAGCTCTGTTTATTGGACATGTTAAAAGGTCAAACTCTAGGATTTTTCAAAGATGTAACTAACAACCTAGAATGACCTCCTATTTTCATTCAGAAAGCTGCTCTCTGAGCAGCCCGAACCCCTCAGAGAGATACTGTAAATCTCTGACCTTCTCCAGTTGTGCTTAAGCACACAGACTTTCCTCAGTGGCTCAACAGAAGGGGGCTGTGAATTTGCATCCTGCCAGCTTTCCAGGAGATGGAATCTGCTGGCCCATGGAACACATTTTGTTTGACTACTCTTAACAGGTAATCAGAATTTTTTTTGAAACAATGTAATTCGCCTCCCTGGCCAGGCTGGGAGTTCTGTTCCTCATATCTCATAGTATATATGCATTATATATGTGTGTAAGTGTGCTGTCTATTATTGATCATTAATTATTGAGAGTTCTTTTTGGTTAGTGGATTATATTCTATAGCATCAATAATTTGAGTTATTATAGACAGGGGAATTTTGTTTGCTGGTTTGGGTTGGTTCTTTTTTTTGCTGTAGCCAAGAGATTGAAGTAAATGTATTGTTTAAAAATAGGCACCTGCAGGTGGGTTGGGGGTGGGGGTGCTGGCATCGTGATGGAGAAGCGCTAATCCTCTACCTGCAGCACTGGCATCCCATGTGGATGCTGGTTCAAGTCTCAACTGCTCCACTTCTGACAACAACTCCCTGCTTATGACCTGAGAAGGCAGTGGATGATAGCTCAAGTCCATGGGCCCTACACCTATGTGGGAGACCTGAAAGAAGCTTCTTGCTCCTGGCTTTAGATGGCTTAGCACTAGTCATTGCAGCCATTTGGGAAGTAAACCAGTGGATGGAAAATCTCTCCTCTCTCTCTCTGCTCCTTCTTTCTCTTTAATTTGACCTTTAAAATAAAAGTAATTTGTGTTTGTTTGTTAAAGCAAACAAATGGTGATGTAGTATAATACATTAAATTGCCACTTGCAGTATCAGCATCCCTATTAAGAGTCCTTGCTACGCTCTAATGGTCTAGTTCCCTGTTTATGTGCCTCGGAAGGTGGTGGAGAATGGCCCAAGTAATTGGGGCTCTCCTACTTAGGTGGGAGACCAGGATGGAAATCCTGCCTTCTTCCTTGCTCATACCTGACTGTTGTCATCTGGGCAAGTGTGCCTACAGAAGGAGAAGGAAGATCTTTCTCTGTCACTCTGACTATTGGATGAATGAAAACCAGGCAACGGAAGGAAGTAGAACATTTTCCTATAAACTCATACATTTACTAAATCACTCAAGAAAACGTGAGTATGTACACCTGAAGTGTTATACTTGAATGTCAATACAGATTTATTTACACTAAGTTAAAATTGCAAGGCAATCAAATGTATGTTGTTTAATGAACTGATAAACAACTTGTGGTAAAATTCCGTGATAAAATACTGATTAACAACAAAAGGGAACACATGTCTGGCATATACAACAAAATGAGTAATGTTTTGAAAAGCCTTGTTCTAAATGAAAGAATTTAGAAATAAGATACATACCAAATGATTGCTTTTATGAGATTTTCAGAAAACCAAAACTGTGGTGAGAGACCAAGTTGTCACAAGCCAGGAAGTATCTGATATAAAGTTTCAGTGTGGATGGAAATGTTTAGCATGTGTTTGGATGACGGTTGCATAACTGAATGCATTTCCAAAGTTCATCGAACTACACACTGAAAAGTGGTCTTATTATATAAAACTTCGATCTCAGTGAAGCTAATTTTAAGAGCGTCATGGTCATCAGCTATAAACCTATTAATATTTCTTGGAGATGTGTATCAGTAGACTAGTAATGTAAAATTAGAGAAAATTCTACTCTGACAAAGAAAGGAGATAGTGGGAGAAAGAATGAATAAATAGGAGTAGCATACTTTGTTTTTTTTTAAGCTTCTCTGTGTAGTTTCAATTGAGAAAAGTCTAAAAGGAGAGAGCTTGAAAACAGGAACTCTAGTTCATTTATTTCTAGCATCCGGTATAGTTAATATTAGATGGGTGATTTTAGTGTATCCAGCTGCATTGTTGAAAAATAAAATTCTGTTGAAAAGTGATTTCTCCTGTTGTATCTTTGTGGTGAGCACAAGTCATATTCTGGGGAGGACTGGGGCATCTGATCAGCAAGGCAAGTTTAGCTTCAGTTAGGTGACAAGATATACCTGCGTATGCAAAGGAAGTTGTCTGGTAAAAGCAAAGCTTTTCTGGAAGAACAGGGAATGTGTGTGTAGAAAGTAGCTGCATATATTAGCATGACGGTCAGGGAAGGGAGGAGAATGTATACGTTCAGTCTCTATGGTACGGAAAGAAAGCAGCTGTGAATTTGAAAACAATCAGAATTTACACAGTTGATCTAACATGAAATTATGTACATACATTTTAGGAGATGCAACTAAAATAGTAATTTCTATTTACCCAGTACTTTTGCATTTTCAGACTATCAAATATCAGTAGCTCCTAACTTCAGATTTCAATTTAAGTTTTGTTAAACTCTGTGTGTGCTCATCTTTTTTTTTTTTTAAAAAAAGATCTACTTATTTTTTCAAAAGCTAAATTGACAGAATGAGAGGGAGAGACAGAAAGAGAAAAATATCTTCCATTTGCTAGCTCACACCCCAAATGCCTGCAGCAGCTAGGGTACAGTCATGCCAAAAGCCTGAACCAAGTACTTGGGTCTTTGCCTGCTGCTTTGCCAGGTGCCTTAGTGGAGAGGTGGCTCGAAACAGAGCAGCCAGGACTCCAGCTGGCACTGTAATGTGAGATGCCAGCATACTGCGGCTACTTAACTTACTGTGCTACCATGCCAGTCCCTGTGTGTGATGTTCTTTGTTTCTATATCATTGCTTCTTCATTATGGCTGAATTTTTTGCTAGCTAAAAATCCCATCAACCAATCTACTAATTCCTTAAGATTTATCTCCTTGTAACTTGAGTAGTTTTTCATATTATTTCTAAATAACTGCCCTAATACAAGCATATATTTAATGTGAATCATCCCCATATCTTATTTTTAAAGTGCATTAGTAAATTATTATAACAGATATATTTATTAAGATACTAATATCTATTATATGTTCTAATAGATATTAAGTATAGTAATGAGTTTATACCATTATATATATATAGTTAAAGTAATTATGATTTTCTATGATGTATAATTTAAAACAATAGTTCTTGAGGTTGGACGAATCTCAGTTTGAATTCTAGCCACAGTTGATATTAAGCAAATCTGGCATGGTGATGGGTGGTAGTCCCTCTGTTCATTATCATGTGGAAAGAGTATGAAGGGTATTTAGCAAGTACTTAATACACCATTCATTATGTGCTCACTTTGTTGGAGGCGGGAATTCTCTGGTGTATTAATAAGACTGCCATCCCCCTGCACATTTTGACCATCTCATTAGTAATAGTGGTTGCTCTTAAAAGAATAGGAAATGAGTTGAAGACTGGACTATTTTTTTTTTTTAAGATTTATTCATTTTTATTGGAAAGTCAGATATACAGAGAGGAGGAGAGACAGAGAGGAAGATCTTCCATCCAATGATTCACTCCCCAAGTGAGCGCAATGGCTGGTGCTGCACTGATCCAAAGCCAGGAGCCAGGAACTCCCTCCAGGTATCCCACGCGGGTGCAGGGTCCCAAGGCTTTGGACCTTCCTTAACTGCTTTCCCAGGCCATGAAGAGGGAGCTGGATGGGAAGTGGGCCTGCCAGGGATTAGAACCAGCAACCATATGGGATCCCACTGCGTTCAAGGCGAGGACTTTAGCCACTAGACCACTGCACTGGGCCCGAATACTGGACTTTTACAGCTGTCACTAGGGAGTCCTGTGTTTCTCAGTGAAGATTTGGGTGGTATTGAAATGTATATATGTGAGAGTACAAAGTTTAGGGTGCCCCATGGGACTGGGCCCCAAAATCTAGACATTCATGTGCTCATAGAACTGGAATGTCTTTGTTCACATGTTGATGAGAAACAAAAATCTCATTAGCAATAAGTACAAATAAGAGGGAAGGCAGGATGTGAGATCTGTTGGCCACAGACAAGCTTGAGTGCATGTCAGTGCCAGCTAAGGACCAGTCAATGTCTTAGCGGATGAGGGCCAGCAGGGTCATCTTAAGGGTGTGGCAATAATGCATGAACAGGACACCTGGCTAGGGGATACAGCGTGGCTTAATTTAGCAGCTACCAAGAGATTAGATATTAGGTGCTCAAAGGACAATATGGAAATCAGACTCTGTTCTTTTCTCATTTGCACAAAGATGCAAGTTACTGGCTATTGTTTTTGACATAAGCATGCTCTAAATGTGGAGATGTAGTAGCAGAAAGATACGGATTGGGTAGTGAGGTAGTGGGACCTTGACCCAGAGAGGATGGGGCATGTTTAGAATTGTATTTACTAAAAAAGTGGAGATTTGGCTGCAAACTTCTCAGGGGTTTTTGAGAAAAATGAGGCATTGGAAAAGTGATGCAATTTAAGGCCCTGTGGGGCATGTATTTGGCTCTGTGGTTAAGATGAAGGGATGCCCTACAACTATAGTGGAATACCTGGATTTGGTATCTTCTGACTCCTGACCTCATCGTCCTGCAATTGTGTCCCCTGGGAGGCAGCAGATGATGGATCAAGATATTGGATTGCTGCCACCCATGTGCAAAACATGGATTGAGTCATCAGTTCCCAGTTTTGTCATGTCCCAGCCCTGCATGTTGCAGGTATTTAAGGAGTGAACCAGCAGGTGAAATAACTCTCCCTCATTCTGCCTCTCTCTCCTTCTTCTATACACACACACACACACACACACACACACACAAAGAAAAAGCATGATTTACTCAGATCAGGTGGACGAGATGCCTATGGCCAGCATGGAATCTACCGGAGTCTGACCTAACTGTTAAGCTGCTGGTGAAGAGCTCTGTAGGCTTCTTCCAGGTTCAGTTCCAGAGCTTGGTGTGGCTGGGCCTGCAGGTGGGCATCAGGGAACCCTCTCAGCCAGATCAACAGGAAGTGGGAACAGAGGAGCCAGGCAGGCTGGGTCTGTGTGTGCTCAACACTGGGAGTAGAGAATGACGGGAATGTTTATCCTTTGTTGTTTACAACATTGAGCTACCCACAGGGCTTTTCTTCTTGAAGAATAGAAGAGTGGTTCCGCAATTATTGCTGAACATGCTTTTATGCTTTTATGCTTTTTTCCTAGCTGGTTGAAAAAACAAACTTTTTTTGGAGAAAATGTTAAGAGCCTCTAAAAATAAAAATGTGGCCATTTTTAAGTGTCATTCTTAGGGGTTGTCTAGTTTCTTATATAAAGTTGTTGGCAGGAACAGGACTGGGAGGAATAGTGCCAGGAGTAGCAGAGGTGAATTTCAACAGAGCTGGCATCAAAAAGTCTCCAATGTGTCAATCTTTAGAATTAATATGGCTTAAGGAGCTCATGTGAAGAACAAAGAAATGTTTTATAATGTTTAGTGTGTTATCAAAAATATGAGCCTATGCTCACATGTAAAAGCTGTCGGGGGGCTGACTGGTTGGTGGGCTGCTATCTAACAGCTAAGGTGTGAGTTTTGGTTCTGCTGCTGGTCAGCTAGAGAAATGAACTTTTCTCCAATGGCTAGTTTCCCCATCTAGAAAATGGGGTTGTATTAGTTTCATTACTTTTCTTCCAAGGAGATTATCAGGATGATATCATTTTCTAAAAGTATCTGTCACATGCCTTGACACTTACTAGGCATTAGTACAGGCTAATGATTTGGATTAGCCATTGTTTATGGGACATTTGCCACCTGCTAGGCATTTAGGAGAAAAGGATTAATACAAAACATCTGGTTATGGAGTCAGTAGCTTTTCCTTTCCTGGCTCTCAAATGTCAGTGTGGCTTCAAGTCAAATTGGAGGATTCTTGTTTAAATGCGCACTCAGGACCAAGTAGAGGCTCAGGAGTGTATGTGTTGGAAGTTCCCACTTGGTACTGACCCTTGAACTTCTTGTATCACCTGTTCTTGAACAGTATCTGAATTTCTGCTTCTCAGCAGGGCACCTTAAAGGAAATTTTAGACCAAGACTCTCTCTTTAGAGTTCCCTACTGCCTTTTATCTCAAGAGACAAGATGACACCAAGTACAAAATCCCAAGAAAGAAATGGTAGGACCTTATGTCTATTTTTGTCTCTCTTTGACCATGCGATCTGAGATGACCTTTTTTTCCCCCTCTTTTCAATCTTCAGGAGGCAAATGAACCTTAAATGAAGTGATAGTTATGTCAACATTTATGAATTCTGGAGCTCCACATATTTTTATTAAAGAGGAAGGGAAAGGATTGCTCATTTGGCATATGTAGATTATTCATATGCTAGGGTTCACATCATAGTTTCAAATGAAGTAAACATTGAACCTCTGCTGCTCTTTCCTTGCCATACTACTTGTCTACAATTTAGAGAAGAAATGGCTTTGTGACAAGAATCTTGTTCAAAATGTTTTTGGGTCCCTTGGTTTTAGGAGTGTTTATAGCTGAAACATTGTCATGTTTTATGTCAAAATTATGTAACTTTTCGTTTGGTTAGAGGAGCTCTATTCAAAATCCTTATGTCTTGCTTTTTAAGGATGTGCACCCAAGTTAAATTCAAAATAGTTTTCCTTGGAATACTTTAGCTCAAAGAAAAGTGGCCATTCCATATATAGAATTATATAACTAAAGGAGTCATTTATTTATGGAAGTATCTTCCTGTGAGGTGGCGGAGGATCCATACCTGTTTATTACAAGGATATCCTTGCTGGCCCTCGTCTATTTGCAATTTGATTATCAAAGCTTTAAATGGCTCATGAAACACAGGAGAGTAATTAAGCTTCCTAAAATTTTTTTACATGATATATGTAATGGCTTTTCAAGGGACGTTTTATTTTAGTTTTTAAAGGAAAAAAAGAATGTTCTGGTATACTTTGTTTTCAGTTAAACCACATGAGTAGTGAATCAAAAACAAAACACAAATCTGGCTTCCCTGTATCTCCATGCTCTATGTAATAATATAAATAACCTAAAGCTTGTGTTTTAGAAAATAAAAAGGCAAACTGAATTGTAAGCGCCAACTTCTTTCTCTAGACCTTCCTGAATATATTTTGAATATATTGGCAAGTTGCATCCTTATTTTACACTTGCCTAATTGATGTTATTCTTAGTGAAGTGTTATGTGAGCATTTTGACAAGTAATTTGGTGATTATTTTGACTGGTAGTAAACTGCCTTCCAGGAAAATCTAATAACTTAAAGAGATAAAGGGTGTGCACTCTCAAGGTTGGAAGAAATAAACTGATTTACCTAAGACCTCACCCATGCCTACGCTGGCTTTAGGTTGTGAATCATATTTTCTGATTTCTAAAATATTAACTCTTCCCGCTATATACTACAGTGAAAGTGTGTATAAACTGAAGTTTGATTGTATAGCTCATGCATGTATATGCTTTTTCAGAATGTAATCTTCGTGTCTAAGTAATTTATAATATGGTGTGCAGTGATGGTGTACATTAAGCCGTAGGAAGAAGCAGCAGTTTCCAGCAGGGAGGGGCAAGGATCAGGCTGTCAGATAATCCTGCAATTCTGAACTGTCTAGCCAAGAGTCCCTACCCTTAGCATTCTAGAGGATCTCAACTAAGACTGACCAGCACGATTGGGGTGTGTGTTTAAGAAAAAGCTTCCAGCATGATTAGCATAGGAGTGTCCTACTACGGAAGCCAAGGGAGTGGTTGATTTTAAAATTGCCATTTGAATTTACAAATGAAAGGAGGCAGCATTACATAAAATGTTTTGTACTCACATGTACAAGTCTTACTTGCCCTGATCAGGTTAATGGATGTGGGTAGGAGTGACATAAGTGGGGCACGCAATGAAATCATTCAAATGAACTAAAAACTTAAGGCAGGTAGAAAGATGAAAAGTTGGTAATGGAATCATATATTGTTTGTTGGTTGTAGTTAATTGCATTTGAAAGTAATCTTTGAAGCAAAAAATGGAATTGAACAAATATGTTTAGAAGATTGAAAAATTGTTTTCCACGATTAAAGAACAATTAACAAACACATTCTAAAGCGGGTTGTATCCATGTCTTTGCTTCTTTCAAATGTACAAAGAATGATGCTGTTAGTTTAATGTGAAAAATATCAGGCAATTAGATGTCTATACCATGCTGAGATTAAAAAATGAAAGTGGTGCATCTGGAAGCAGAACGGTTAGAAATTGAGGATATGAGAGAGAATTTTTAGTAGTTCTATTGAAATTTTCATAATTAGAGGAGTCATTCAAGTTATGGCGTATAAACGCTCATTTCAAACACTGAAGAAATGTGCACATCGCCAGGTACGTACTGTCTCTTTTGAGCAGGAGAAAATGAATATTTGGCACTGTTTCTGAAGAATGTTTGAATATGAAGCAGATATGCAGAATTTCTTTCTGGAAGATTTTTTTTTCTTTTCTAATTTAAGAAAGTAGCAGGGAAACCCTTAGCTTTAAAACTAAGGAATCATACATTGGTGTAAAACACCTTTCATGTTGTGTTGAATTCACTGACATTTGAAAAAAAGGTTTTTTTTTCTGCATAGTATGTGTAAAATTAGAAACTGACATCATTTCTTCTCTTTCTATGTATGTTTACTCACTAATGTTTGTACTTGAGTCACTGTATACTCTACCTGATAGTCTTCTCTTGTCTTTGGACTTCCATGTTGTGTTTCAGGCCAGCTAGCCATGAGAGGGTACCTTGTGGTCATATTTCTGAGTGCTGTATTCCTCTATTATGTGCTACACTGTATATTATGGGGAACAAACGCCTACTGGTAAGTTTCATTTTGCTACTTAAATGTAATTCCCATAAGTGTGTGTGTGTGTGTGTGTGTGTGTGTGTGAGTGTGTGGTGTATGTGTGTCTTTCATTCTCTCTCCCTCTTTCTCTCACACACCACACACATTATGTTCAACAAACTTATTTAAAAAGCCTCTGCAATTGTCATATTTTGAGTTCTATGAGTTTCCCTTATACGTTGAAGATTTAACATTTTGTTACCCTAAAGCTAGTTTCTCACAATTTAAAAACTGATAAGCAAGACTTCTTTGGATTGCCCAGGGAAGGGATAGGATCAACTTTTTTTCGGACATAGCATTGTCTATTTTTGTGGTTGTTCATCACTTATAATTAATGGGTAATTTTACAATTCAGTGGCACTTGACTTTAGAGACAAAAATACTTGGGAGAAGAGATTATTGATAAAATATGGGCATTGCTTGTAGTTTCCTCTGTTTAAAATACTTGGTGAATAGTAACATGTATCTTTTTAAATAGCTTTGACTTACAACATCATGTATGGAACTGATGTGGCACATATAGTTTCATTACAGAGAAGACAGTGCCACTTTTCTTTAACCTTCTTATTGTGAGTCTTTTGGCTAAGCAAAAAAAAAGTGTTTTGATGACCTTTAGATCTTGAATGGGTGGTAGTACACAATGAAATCAGAATGAATCACGTGGTAGCTTCCTGTCTTAGACAAAGGGTCAGTATCCTTTGCCAGCGTTTCAAAAATAGAGCCTGCATCATGTTTTTAAAGTTGTGCTTACAAGGTAAAAAAAAAAAATTGATGTGTTTGATTTGCATTTAATTTTGTCACTACTTGATTAAAGATAATTTTAATGCTTTTCCTGGGAGAAGGTTAGGCAAATGGCCAGAAAGTTCTATATTTTTATTTAAATGTCTGGCTACAGCCCTTAGAGTCTGATTATAGCACGGGGCTCAATCCCTGCATCTGGGTCACATCCTGCCTCTGCTCCACGCTCAGTAGTAGAAGACATAAATAGAAGTGCAAGCCTTTCAAAAGTTTACTAGATGGTTGCTTTCCTATAAATCTTATTGTTGGTCACAGGGGAAATGATAAAGAACATAATGAAAAGGGTCTGAATTCAGCACAGTCTTTTGTCATCAGATTTTGAGGACTGTCCAAATTAAGCTAACACATTACTCCAGTCACAGAAAGTACCGTGGGAAACCATCCCACGAGTATTTCTGGCATAAATTTGTGTCTTTCACGCTTGTTTCAGACAGATAATTACCCTTTCTGGGGAAAAAAAAATCCAAAATTGCCTTCACATTATCTTAAACGCTTGTTTTCTCTTAAATGATGTCATGAATCAAATAATATACTTCAGTGTTTCCTCTACAGGTAATTCAACTTCTGTGGCTCAGTGTATGGGCCCGCCATGTTTGTGCAGCTTCCTTACAGCTACATCACGAGGCCCTTGCCATTTGTGATATTTGTAAAAGAGATTTCCCCGCATCGGGAGTCCACTAGCTTTATGCTTAGACATGCAGCACTTTTAACTATGGGTTATTTTGTACACATACACGCACCTGTCACATAAAAATACAACAGAAAATTGTGTCTGCCCAGGCAGGGTTTAGACTATTTTCTCCAGTTTGAATCCTGATTACAGAAGAACATTGATCACTTTTCCTTTTATATTGATTATGAAATTGATGATCATTAATAAATTCTTGCATTAACTTTTTTTTTTTTTTTGGTTTTACAAAGTCTGGATCCTGCCTCCTCCACACCCTTCATTTATTTTTATGATTGTGCTCTGCCATGTTTGACAATACTCTTTTAAATTGTGGAGACAAGTACTCCATTCAAGAGAATCACAAGGGCCTAACCTGTGTCAACAAAGCAGAGACAGAAAGAAAGATTCCAAGTGGTATGACAGGTGGAGCCTGCAGGGTCACAAGGCCAGATCTCTGCGCTCTGTTCAGGACAGGTGTTTCAGTGGTGGTCAGTGCTGGTCGATACTCCCCACATGTGACACAGGGCACCTAAAGAGCTGGGTGTACTTAGGATGAGCTTGGCTTCTCAGGTTTAGGGTTTCCCAGGTTTTCGGAAGCCTGGTGTGGCTTCAGTGGTGCGTAACCCTAACCTTCCCTCAGGGCCCCTTGAATCACGTTCTTTGTGTCACTTCTGGGTCACTGGGCATCTCCACCTCCCTCCGGTCCCTTGCCTTATGCTCCTGAGTCCTCATGCGTGTGCTGGACTAGGAGGAGGTCCTGCCAGATCTGAGAGGCTGCTGCAAGGAGCTTTATTCTCAGGCTGAGGAGCCTCTTCTAGTGACACTTCAGTGGTTCCCAGGGCATTCGCTTCCCTTTGGGCGGGTTGCCCGGCTTGGTTTCTGACCCACACTATTTTTGTCTTGTAGGGTTCCACCTGTGGAAATGAAGCGGCGAAATAAGATCCAGCCTTGTTTATCAAAGCCAGCTTTCGCCTCTCTCCTGAGGTAAAAATACACAAGACAAAAACCAACCAAACCAACAAACTCCTGTGGCACACACAATGTGCAAACTGTTTTAATCAGTTTCTGCACTTGTTTAACTTATCCCTGTGAATCATCGCACCGTAAAGAGGACAGCCCATGTTTGTGGAAGGCTTGGCTATCCTGTCTCTTGTTGTGCTTTCAGTTAGAACTGCACGTGTTTTAAGAAAAGGCACTGAAGAACTCAATCAGACCAGTGTTCTTTCCACACAGGTGGGATCAGAGAGGATTGTTTATGTTTAATCATAAAAAAAAAACCCGGCTTTTTTAGGATTTGATTTTTCTTTTTCTCCTTGTTGTTCCCAAGTTAATTTTTACTTTGTGGCTTCTTACCCTTTGCCTCTAGGTTAAATTGTGTGCCTAGAATTTTCCTCTGATTTTTTTACTGACTTTTAATGAATTATGTAGAGTGTAAATAATCGTTGTACATTGTGGTTGTCAGTCCTTGCAGAGAATTTGCACTTCTGACCACAAGAGCTCTTTTCCTCTGCCCCTTGGCTTTGATAAATTATTGATGAAAATGGTTCCATATAACAGGAGGCAAGTCACAATCTAAATTGGGTGTGTTTAATTGTGTAAAATTGGTTAAGTTGTTTCTGCATTTTTCCACTAAGCATCAAGAATTCATATTCTGTTATATAAGCTCATGGAAATGAGCACAAGGAAAAATCAACATATGGATTTCAAACATTTTTACCACCAAAATAAACTTTTATTTCCATTTTACAGCAAACTTTGTGACATCCCCTTGTAATACTGCATCTGTCTGCGACTAATTCTTTTTTTTTTTAAAGATTTATTTTTTTATTATTTTTTATTGGAAAGGCGGATATACAGAGAGGAGATACAGAGAGGAAGATCTTCCGTCCAATGATTCACTCCCCAAGTGAGCCGCAACGGCCGATACTATGCCGATCCAAAGCCAGGAGCCTCTTCCGGGTCTCCCACGCGGGTGCAGGGTCCCAAAGCTTTGGGCTGTTCTCGACTGCTTTCCCAGGCCACAGGCAGGGAGCTGGAAGGGAAGCGGGGCTGCCGGGATTAGAACCGGCACCCATATGGGATCCCGGGCGTGCAAGGCGAGGACTTAACCACTTGCGCCACCGCGCCGGGCCCTGTCTGCGACTAATTCTTAATGCTTTGGACCCAGTGATTCCTTTAGTCAGTCAGCTGCCTGGATGAAGGCCACACTCGAGCTGTGTATGATTGCAGGACACCATAGCTGCTTGTCACCAACCCTGGGTGTGTGTACGGTTAACATTGCTACATGATGGGAAAGATGTTTCATTAATTTATTGATTTATTTATTTATTTTACCTTCTCTCTCTCTTTTTTTAAAATATTTTTTATTGGAAAGGCATATTTATAGAGAGAATGAGACACAGAAAGAAATATCCTCTGTCCGCTGGCTCATTGCCCAGCTGTCCACAATGGCTGGAGCTGAGAAGCCAGGAGTCAGAAGCTTCTTCTGGGTCTCCCATGAGGGTGCAGGTTCCCAAAGCTTTGGGTTATCCTCTACTGCCTTCCGGGGCCATAAGCAGGGAGCTGGATGGGAAGTGGGGTAGCCAGGACACAAACCAGTGCCCCATATGGGATCCTGGCTCATGCAAGGCAAAGACTTTAGTCAGTAGGCTAGTAGGCCTGGCCCTACCATCTGTTATTTACTTTGGAACCACATGCTTGTATTTCTAGTAAGAAAGACATTTTTTTTTTTTTTACCCTTTTCTAGTTCAGATACTCTGCATGCTATTTTTTTTTTTTAAATTAGAATCAATATAACTTTAATGAGCAAAGATTTTCTTTTTTTTTGAAAAAGCTTTATGCAGGAATGCTCAGCAGGCTACAGTTTGAGTCTGGCTGATTTGCATTTGTCATGTGACTAGTTTGAGGGCCAACCTCTAAAACATGCTCCTTTCTCAGCAATATGGGAGAACCAGTGACAATCAGGAGAGTTTCAGCAGCTCCAAGGATGTTAGTTTTTAGGGTGTAGTTATCTAGGACTCAGTTTTCTCTGTAGAACAGAGAGGCTCTTGAGTCTTCTCTCAACCCTTGTCACGTGGCCTGGTGCTTCCTCTTGCCAATGCAGAGACTGAACTTGAGCCTCAACATTGCTATACCAAGGACTGTTTCTAGGTTGGCTGGATCCTTGAGCTTCCCATCATTCACTATCACAACTGAATTTGTGACATACGCGACATCTTTGGAGGGAGAACTGGTGCTTGAAATGAAAGCAGGGTTAACTCTTAATTTAACTCTCAAAATATTAGACTTCTACGGCTTGCACAAATCCAGTGGCCCTTGAATGACAAAGCAAGGACAAAACTGACACTCTTTTTCCCTTGTCTCTGCTGCTGTTTGTTTCTGGTTCATCATCGAGGCCGATGAACCTCAACATCACCCTGGTCTCTACCTACAGGTTTTAGACTTAAGAAAGTACAAACCTGCCTTGAGAAGAGAGATGGCACCACATGTAGGGGCTGTGGTAAAAAGTAGATAGATTGGCTCACAGACAGATTGGGGCTGGTCCAAAGCCAGGAACCAGGCATCTCCAGTGGGTCTCTCACACTGGAGCAGGGGCCCAAGCACTCGGGCCATCCTCCTCTGCTTTCCCATGCATATCTTCAGGAAGTTAGACTGCAAGTGGAACAACTAGGACACGAACCAGCATCTATTTGGGGTGCTTGGCATTAGCAGGCTGCTGTTTTATATTTGTTATGCCACAATGCAGGTCTCCTTTTCTTTTTTTCCCTGTTTCACTGTGATCTTTATATAAATGTGTTTCCCATTGTTACAACAAAATACTCAAGGCTTGATCCTTTATAAAAAAGGGGGTGGGGACTTGATTTAACTCAGAGTTTTGGAGGCTGAAAAGCCAAATCTCTTAGTGCAGGTTTTGGCAAGGACCCCTCCCCTCTCCTTGCTGGGTCATGTCTTGGCAAATGGCATTATGGTGTGAGTGTGCCTGAAGGAGCAGCTGGTTGACACAGGAATGTAGAGAGTGGGGGAGGTTAGTCTTGCTGTACTGCAACAGCTCTGGCAAGGATTAATTGGGAACCCACAGGAAAATGTTAATTACCTCCCAGGACACGGTTGCAGGTGTGCTACCGTGAGCTTCTTGAGGTTCTGCCTCTTAAAGGTTTTACACCTCTTGCATACCTGCACTGGGGACCATGCTGCCAATACAGAACTCATGGAGGATGCATGAAACCATTAAAGTTTCTAAACATTTGGCTTGAACTTGAAATTGATTTAAGCACTTGGTAAACTTGTGTTGCCTGTTGGGAGTGTGACAAAGCTCTAAAGGTGAGAAAACCCACCTGTGGTACTGATTTCATCAAACTCTGTCCCTTGTGGAGAGGGCAAGGACAGTGAAGACAAATGCCATCATTCTTTTCTTGAGTAAATAGTGATTTAGCAATAGTAGGGAGGAGGTGAAGTCTAGTCATGCATTTGGACTCTTGGATATATTTTTGTTTTTACAGATGATACAGGATTATACAGATGATTAAGTTTAGAGATTGCTTAAGGTTCATTCATTTATTACTACTTCTCATATATGGGACTATGAGTTTATCGCTTGGTATTGGCTTATTTTTAAATTTTGTTTTCATAGCCTGAGGTGCAGTCCCCTTTGGTTCCAGGGCTTGGAACCAAAAATTACACATTCTCTTCCATGGACCATTAAATGCTGTCTAAAATTATTTTAAAAATTCAAATCTACGTTTTTATTCAAGCAATATGAATTATATGCTGCAGTTCTTTTTTTTTAATTTTATGATTCAGTTCCACAGGCTCTGGGATTTCCCTTACCCACCCCCCCACACCCCCATGCAGTTAATTTCAGTTGTGATTTAAAAGCATTTGACTCGCTGTTTCTCCATCCTATGTTTCCAGGTTTCATCAGTTTCACCCTTTTCTGTGTGCTGCTGATTTTAAAAAGATTGCTTCCATGTATGGTAGCGATAAGTTTGATTTGCCCTATGGGATAAGAACAACAGGTCAGTAGTGATATTGTTACTCTATGTTGTTCATGTTGAGTGGTGTTTGATAAGAACCACTTGTTTATATGAGTTGAAGGCCTTTGATTCCTCGGGAATATGAATTTTCAGTGGGATGAAGGGAATTATGTTTTTAAATATAAATCTACACTCATTTGAAATAATTGTAGCCATAAAGAAGGTAATTTTTTTATGTTGTTGAGAAACTGCTCTTTGCTTCAATTTTGCCACTGTGTGATAAATGGATTTTGATGCTGTACTGTCAGTTAGAATTAACATGGTGGCCCTGAGCATTAATTCTTACATCCATCACCAGTTTCTCCTCTTCAGCTCTTTGCCTGTAAATTTTATTTCATCAGAGAATCCTAGCCTTCTTTCTTCTAATTTATAGTTGATTGGCCTTACATAGCTTGAAGGCCTCGATTTTTATTTATTTGAAAGGTAGAGTTACAGAGATCTTCCATATCCTGCTGGTTCACTCCCCAACTGGCTGCAATAGCCAAGCCTGAGCCAGCTCAAAGTCAGGAGCCTGGAGCTTCACACAGGACTCCCATGTGAGTGAAAGGAGCCCTAGCGCTCGAGCCATGTGCTGTTGCTCACCAAGGCACATTAGCAGAAAGCTGGAGCAGCACCCATATTGTTTGCCAGCAGTGCAAATGGTGGTTTAATCTGCTTTGCCAAAGTGCTGGTCTCTATTCCAAGATTTTTGAGAGATCTTAAATGCCCAAATTATGATGGATTTGCAATATTGTGATACAGTGTTCAATTGATCCTAGGATGCTTTCTGTTTGAAAAATATTTTAAAAACACAAAAATGAGCAATTTGATGAGCTAGTTGATTTAAACTATTTCAACTCCAGTTTTTAACTTCAGTTTCAGAATACTCTCACACTGCTAGTTTTGCAATTATTTTGTAATGACTATTGTCATATTAAGCCTTTGTTTTAGGGGGATAAGGATTGGAAAGTGTCCTTAGAACATAAGCCATTTTGAATGTACCGTAATACATAATTGCAGTCATATCCTTGGTATTTCACAGAGCAAATTAAATGTGGCTGTGCCATTTGGAAATGGGTTTGGTGGGGAGAAAGCACTGTGGCTTACTCTGTCCCTGAGAAGCCGTTTCGTTTTTATTGTCTCAATTAACAATATTCCATTTCTCTTTCTAGCGGAATATTTTCGACTTGCTCTTTCAAAACTGCAGAGTTGTGATCTCTTTGATGAGTTTGACAAGTGAGTCTGTTTCCTTGCTCTGGCTGATTTGTTGTTTTGGGTAAAATAGTTCAAAATACCTACCGCAAGAGATATAAGGTGTATCTGTTCAGTTTAATCCTGTATTATTTTTTTTTCCTAACTAAAACATTGAGTAGTTCTGGAAGAACACTAGAAATACGCCATCCGATGAGTTTAGAACCTGTATAACTAGTTGGCTCAGAAGTTTGAGGAGAATCTGGATGATGAGCTGTCCTAAGTAAGGACAATTTTAATCCATGTTCCTATTTTCTAAGCTGTTACTATTAAAGAATTAATTCCAACCTGCTGTTGATGACCTCCCAGTCCCCGCTCAAGGGCTATCTCCATACCTTCCTCTACATTCTCCACACTATTCATGAATATTCTTTTGGTTCACTTGTTAACACTGGATTGGGGCAGCATCTTTTTCTTTCTATTCAGAGTTGTATTTGAATGTAGCAAATAGCTTGCTCATAAATAAATTTTCTGATCACAATTTTAATGTAGTTTTTAGAAAATTTTTCTCTTAAGTGAATCCCATGGAAACCGAATTGCCAAAGGAAGGCTTCTCTGTGGATAGACTTATGTTAGAAGTAGATTTATCATACAAGAATAAATTGCATTATAATATTGCATTATAATCTACATTAGAATATGGGTAGTGGGCCAGGCCAATAATATGAGCAGTCTATTGGTGTCATGTATTCATTACAAAGGAAAATGGCAGAATTTCAAGTTTTCCTTGAGGGAGCAGAGGTGCTGTCTGGTGGATGCTGAAGATAGGGTAGGAGGTAGAGATAGGGAAGTAGAGATGGAATTTCTAGAACAGAGCAGGAGGGGATAGCATTAGTCCCAATTTAATCTTTTTTTTTTTTCCCTGTCACAGATTTAAATGATCAATATGTCTTCATTATTATTCATTAAAATGAATACTATGTCTTCATTTCTATTTATTATAATTTATAATTTAAAACTATGCTGTCCACCTAATCAATTTCAGCTTGATCAACAGAAACCTTGTCTTTTTTCCAACTTGAACTGTTTTGTTGCTCTCATTTGTAGAATATTATTTTGTACACTTTTAATTTGGACATGATGTCCGTTCTCTATGATTTTGTAAACAGAGAAACTGAAGCTTGCTTGGTAAATGGACACAGTTTATTACAACTGGTAAACACCAGTGCTGGGATATTAACCTAAAGAGTTCTAACTCCAGTATCTGGAGTTAAGAACAGTAATAGGTTTTTCTTCTATATTTTCAGCAAGTTTCTCAGTTATCTGTAAAGATGGTGGCCCTGTAAATGTGATGCTTGAGGGCATGTGACTGGAAGCTTCCTGCTTGCCTGCCTTCTATTTTAGAATTAGACTGTGCTTTATTTAGTTGCCTCCGTAGCCACTATGCCTCCAAGTGCTTATCCATTCGTGTGTGCCTTGGCCAGGCTATTTCCTGTCTTCTTGCTGACTTAAACTCTTGTCTTCCTCTCCATTCCCATTGCTCAAAGTGAATCCCCCCTGACTCTTCACTATTAACCTATGCCCATTTCTCAGCATTAACCATACTGGGAGATAGTGGATTGAAAATTGTGCTTGAATACACTTCAGTCCTTTGTCTGAAATTGCCAATTTAAAATGTAAGTGGAATAAATGCAAGCCAGAGATTCTATACACAGAGTGAAAGGCAGGTATTCCTGTAGTGTCTCCAGTGAGTGAGGCCAGTGCTACAGGGTTTTCTGTGTCATATTTATTGAATTGTTTGGCTTATGTATATGTATCCGCTAGAGATTTCAGAAAGACAATTTTGAAAATAGATATGGGCCTGGTGAGATGGCTTAATGGCTGAATCTTTGTCTCTCATATGCTCTCATATGCTGGGATCCTATATGGATACTGATCGTGTCCCAGCTGCTCCTCTTCCCATCCAGCTCCCTGCTTGTGGCCTGGGAAAGCAATGAAGGGTAGCCCAAAGCCTTGAGGCCCTATACCCACATGTGGGACTTGGAAGAAGCTTCTAGCTTCTGGCTTCAGATTGGCTCAGCTCTAGCCATTGTGGCCACCTGGGGGATTATCCAGCGAACAGATGTTTCTCTCTATATCTCCTTCTCTGCAAAATTGCCTTTCCAAAAAAAAAAAAAATCCAAATCTTTTTTAAAAGAAGATGACTATGGAAATATTCTATTTGCATAACACTTGAATTTTGGGAAGGATTAATATTTAACACTAAATTTTTTCTACATTTATTTTGTGTATTTTTTTAAAGGCTTGTTTCATTTTTATTTGAAAGTTAGAGAGAAAGAGAGACACATCTTCCATCTGCTCATTCATTCTTCAAATGGCCATAGCAGCTGGAGTTTAGCTAGTTTAAATCCAGGAACCTGAAGCTGCTTCTGGGTCTCCATGTAGGTACAGAGGTCCAAGGACCTGGGCCATTGGCCGCTGGTTTTGCAGGTCATAAGCAGGGAGCTGGATCAGAAGTAGAGCTGTTAATAACAAAATCAGCACCTATATCAGATGCTGGTGGCTCAGGACCATTAACCTTTACACTCTGGCCCTCATATAGGTAACTATATTTTAAATAAGCCATTCTGCATTTGTCTGGTGACTACCATGTAATGTAAATTTACAAAATTATATTTAATTACCTGTCATTCATTTTAATTAAATGTAATTACCTAAGTAATCAACTTCCAATGAACCCCAGAAAAAAAGAATATGTTAAAACTGCTTTAATATTGCCACTTACTCAACCCAGTTTGTTCCCTGAATGGCCTTTGTCAATCTCCCATTTTCTCCTGCAGGCCCAGGAAAGATGCGCAGAAAGAAAGATGTCTGAGGACAGCCTTTTTTAGGCAGAAAATTTAGACTCCCCTTGGTTGAGAGACTCCTACTTAAGGCCCAGGCCTGTGGCTTTGGCAGCAGGAGGGAGCCTTGTTGGCATAAGCTGGCTTGCTCTTTATCTGTGTGCCTAAAGGTCAAAGACAGGGATTGGGGTTGAGAGAGTTGCAATCAGCTTGTTCAATCCCTTTTGCTTTTATTCTGCACTCTCCACTGATGTCTGTGCAACTTCTGGCCTTGCTCCCTGTGTGGTCCTCCCCATCTGTGCTCTGGAAAACACGTGGCTTGCTTCTGCATAGTCACAAAGCATAAATCTTTTCCCTAAATTTTATTTTCCCTCTATCCCTCTTTTTCCTTCTGGAAAGTTTTAGACATTTTGTTGTTGTTTTTCATCTGAATTCTTGAAGATGCCACCAGTTTAAAGTGCTAGTGTTTTGCAGATGGCATGACCAGTACACAGGAGGCCCTGCATTGGAATAGATCTCACTATGATAGGTATAAAATAGGTGATTTTCTCTTTCTCCAAGTTTTCAGGTATATGATGTTTGCAGGTTTCTAGAACTGGCCCAGGGTCATCAGTGGCTGCTTGTCTGCTGTGTCTCTGCCAATCCTTGACATTCACAGCTTCCTCTGTAGGGTCCATAGCAATGGTTGGAGTTCCATGAAACACACCTTTGTTCTTGCCATCAGTGACACGGAAAGGGGAAAGGGCCTATCCCCATGCTTTGAAATGTACTTCATCCTTCTTTATCACATGTACTACAGAATCACATGTAATACTTTACATCCAGTGACACGCTGGAGCCAGTTAACACCAACTTGAGAAAGGAGCATTGCTTCCCAGGACCTTCCTCGGTGCTATCAAGGTAGATGTTTGAAATTGGTCATGATGGGAGTATTTATTTATACCATGGAAACTGGCAAGTGCTGGAAATCAGGGCTTTCCTCATTGTTACTCCGGAGAACTTGTTAGCAAACATTTACTGGAAACTGATTACATGGTAATGGTTAAGTGTGAATCACAAGGCTCCACCTAGCTGAAGTATGGACTAAGAAATTAGCCCTTACTGCAGATGAGAGAATAAGGCACGAGACCTGAATTCCTGAGAGATCAACAGCAACAGCATAAAGCAAAGAACTCAGGTCTTTTCCCTTAATTCTCCAAAACACACCAACACAAGGCTGCCCTGTTTAACAGAACCACTAAAGATATGGATGTTTTAAGGGAATTGTGTCACAAAAAAGTAATGCTTTTCAAATCCTCACTCCTTATGTCATTGCTTTCTCACCAGTGAGAGCACATCCTCTTGTCATCCAGAAGCCATAGGAAACCCAAAGCGCAAAATCTTTGCCTGTAGTTTAAAGACACAAACTGTTCCCCAACCCCCACAGCACTGGATTCGGAAGGCAGGCCAGGCTATGTGACAAGTGCTGCAGTCCTGGGGAATAGGTGGTTGTACAGTAACTACACAGAACGGAAGCACCTGTGTCAAGTCAGCTAGCTGCTAGAGGAATGTAGACGCTTCCTGGTTAGTTACTCATGTAGAATTCATTATGTCATCAACAACAGAGTTGGATTAAATTGGTTATCAAGAACACCCCCTTGGAAAATGTAAAAAAAGAAATTAAGCATCGGCAGTATACTTATAGAAAGAAGTTTTAATGTCACAAGGAACGTCAATGTCTGTGTTGCTATTCTAGATATCCTTCTGTTGCGTAGTTTCTTTACACTTCAGTCTTTCTACCACAAGAGAACTGGCATCTCAGGGAAAGTTGTGATCAACAGGGTGAGTCACATGGAGTGAAGTTGCAGGTGCAGCCATCATCTGTCTTCTAGTATCTGTTGTAGTAAGGTGTCTGGTAAGATTGACTAGAGGAAATGGCATTTGCTAAGTGAGGAGCAACATTCAAGGCTTCCATGACTCCTGCTCTACCAAAAGGAAAGCACAGTAATCCCATTACTAGGCCAAACTCCCAGAGAATGGGGGAGACAGAACTAAAAGCCAGGTCTCCACCCCCAAGTCTCTTGCATTGTGTTTTAGGTCTTCTGGGTACAAGCAGTAATTTCCTAAACATGATTTAAACAAGTAAATATTTACCATGCCCCATTTTGCATAGCTGTCTGGTTCCTGCAGGCATCCTGCTCAGGGCGTCACACATGGCAGTCA